AGGTGTTCCTTGAAGCTACAGCTCTCTTGATTTGGTATTTGGTGTCAGTAAAAAGTGTTTGAGGACAGGAAGTGAAACTAGTCCCATACGATGGTAGATATTGGGCCTGGGCCAAAGGATGATGGAGCACTGCCCCAGCAGTCAAGAGACCCAAAGCCCCATCTGGTCCCACTGGTGATTTCCTGTGTCCTAGACCCTCAGATGCCTGCCTCTGAGCTGGATCCTGCCTCCCAGAGGTGACACAGGATAGATGTGACTTGACTTCCTTCATGGAATGATGTGCCCTGGATTGTTTCTTAAACCCCAGAATCTCAGTCCTGTTTTTGTGAATTGTCAAGTGGCTAGCTCTCCTCCTGGATTCCTCTGAGCTGTGGTCAGTTACTTTGTGGCTTTCTGACACCTTGTTTTAGGAGATTTGTTACTTGTCTGGCCCTGCTCTGACCTCTTACCTTCAGTTTAATTTGGTTGAGCAGAGGATTACTTGGCTGGAACACCCATTTACTGACACCTCACCCCACCCCCAAGAATACACTCTTTATTTTTTTGTTGAGAATGTACCCAGCAAGACGTATAGCAATTCAACCATTTCTAAATGTATAGTTCAGAGACACTGATTCCCTTCTTCAAGTTGTACAGCCATTCTTGCCCTCCTTTTCCCAGTTACTCCTCCCTCAGTCACATGAACTCATTGCCCCCTGAATTTCCTACCTGGTCTTTTGAGTTACTGTTATCAATTGGATCCCATATAGATACTTCTTAAAAGAGCACAGTGCTGAAGAGAGACATTCTTTATTAGTTAAGCTGATGTGTTGTTTGGTTCAGAGAAGACTTCAGGGGTTATTTTTGTTGGAAAGTTTAAAGTTTATCTCAGAGCAATCCTTGCTGGGGTTAAGTATATTATTCTTACTGGCCTCAATGGACCCAGGCTGTTTTAGTGTTGAGATCTATTACCCTCAGGCCCAGCCTTGTAGTTGGTGGAGGGAGGGCACTTTTGGAGATTGAAGTCTCAGTCTGGAAGGATAGGCCTGAGGTAGAAGCCTTTGGCCTCTGGCTTTGCTGAGAAGGTTGAAGACTAGGGTCTTGGAGCCAGAGAACCTATACTTTGCCTTGTTAAAAACCTAAATCCTGAGAGAAACACCAGAAATTAGTGTAACAAAATATATTTAATGTGAGTAGATACAATTCAAATCAGTCAAGCAGTGTCACTGTAAGTATTGGGAAGGCGCTCTGAAGGTGCATCGTGGAAACAGGTTACGTAGGTGAGGGCTGGCATGGTAAATCTCCTAAATCACTGTAAATTCCTTCTCTGTTGGTGTCGCTGGAGATAAAGAGGCAGAGCATGTGCACGGTTTCAGGGTCAGTCAATTGTAAGAGTCTTTAAGGACATGCTGTATATCCTAAAACATAGCTTCTAGCCAGACCTTGGAATTCTGCTTCTGGAAACCAGAGCTGCCAAGCAATCCTACTCCAAACTCACTGTATGTCAATAATTTTCCAGAAGTGCTTAATGCCTAAGGCAAGCAGTTTCCTAAGCTGCTTACTATGCTATTGCTTGACCTGAAGCTGACTTCAGGAAGACCAGTTCCTTAAAGGCTCAAGGTTCAAAAGGACACCCAAAGGCAAATAGCCTGTGTGGGTCACCCCACTCCATGAAGCCAGAAATCTCGATTCCAACGGTTTCTGCTGGGCAGACATGGGTAACCATGAAAAAACCTAACCTGATCCAGCAGTGACTCTGGGGCAGGCCTCTGCATTTGGGCCACAGCACACGCCTTCTTCCCCATTGTCCTGATCGCTAAGTGTGTCCTAATCACTGAATGTGGAGCTGCCCACAGGAAGGCCCTGCGAATCCTCTTTGCTTTGTTTGCTCTGGAGGGCTGTGTAAGGGTAAATCAGTGCTTGGGGATGGAGGTAGACTTGTTCTGATTTGGAGTTTTCCTAAAGGGCAGAGATCACTTCTGCTCTTTCTGTGGGAGCAGAAAATGTGATGAAGGGTGAGACAGTCAGACAGGGGCTGCATCAAGAGCTAGTGCTTTCCCTACAGGATCCATGGAGCCCTGACCAGAGTGGGGTCTGCAAGGGCAATCCTGCACATGCACCTAACTTCCTCTGTGTGTCCTCCACAGGGAAGTTGGCGCTGGGTCCTGTTTATCCTTGGTTGAATCAGCATCTTCCGTCAGGGTCACCCTGCTTCTCCTTTCCAGACCTCGTGCTCCATTGCTCTCCTGTAAACCTTTCCTGCCAGACTTGCCTTGATGTTCCCTTGTACCCCCTCCCCAGGCCCCCTAACTGAAGAGCCCTCACCCTTCCATCTCCTTGAGTCCTAGCTCATACTGGGGCCCAGTGCTGGCATCAGCTGACTTATCAGCCTTGGGATCTTGGGAAATGTCTTGACCTTGGTCAGCTTCCATTTCCTTATCTGTGAGTTCATGATAGCAAAGCCATCATAGGGTGCTTATCGAGAATCAATGAGGCAGTATATGTAAAGGGAACAGAACTCATTTAGCATTCCTTGGTTTCTTTGGGCCATGATTTTTTTGAGAGCAGGGACTGCATATTACCTCTTCTGGTGTTCCACTGATGCTCAGCAGTGTGTTCAATAAACCTGTTACCATCAAGTCAATTCCAACTTCATATCGACTTTATAGGACAGAGTAGAACTGTCCCATAGGGTTTGCAAGGCTGTAATCGTTAAGAAAGCAAACTGCCACACATCTGTCTCCTGCAGAGTAGCTGGTGGGTTTGAACCACTTTACATTTATCTGTAATTTCCATCAGAGAGGTCTGCTCAAGCATGCCCAGCTGGTTTGAGACAAAACTGAGATTAGAACCCTTGTCCCCATTTAGACATGTTCCTGTGCTGCTTTGGCCTCATGGAAAAGCAGAAATGTAGCAGGAGAGTCCTCCCCTTTTGAAGCTCTGTCAGTTAGACTTTTCAATGCTGAGCTGGCAAGCACGTGACTAGGGCAGGCGTCAAGGGAGCTGTTGCAGGGCCCAGGCCCTGTGTGAATACTGAGCTCCTGGTTCCTGGTCCAGTGGCTCCTTGGCACCTTCAGTTGCAGCATCTCCCTTGCCGCCTGCTCTTTGTCTCTAACTCAGCCCCCTAGTCCCATGGACACTGGCACTCTACCTGCGTTCAGTGTATAGAGCCCTTTCTGCCCACTCCCTGATGCGGACCCACCCGAGGCACACAGGGTACCTCACCTCCTGAGGTCTGAGTTTTCTGACTTTTTCCTTCCTTGTTTATACTTCCTTAAAATCCACTAACTGGTTTTTAGTTTTGTATTCACAAGGCTTTTCCCTTGCACTTTGAGTAAGATTAGTGGACCTCCTGCTGCAGCTGGGTGGGAAAGCTGGCGGGCAAGAGGAGGGACTTGGGAGCTTGCTCA